TCCGCAGCAAGGTCGTAGTCCCCAAAGACAAGGACCTAAGGAGGCGCATCATCGAGCTCTGCCACGATATGCGAGTCGCCGGACACGCCGGGCGGTTCAAAACCCTAGAGCTGGTTTCGCGCAACTACTGGTGGCCACAGATGTCCCGCCATATCGGACGCTACGTTGCGACCTGCGACTTGTGCTGCCGCATGAAGGCCCTCCGAAGGCTCCCCGCATGGAGAGCTACATCTGACCGAAGTCCCCCCCGAACGCTGGCACACCGTCACGGTGGACTTCATCGTCGAGCTCCCCGAGGCTCACGGGTACGACGCGGTCATGGTAGTCGTCGACGCTCTTGGCAAACGCGCCCACTTCACTGAGTGCCATACGACGGTAGACGCAGTCGGAGCTACCCGGTTGTACTATCGGAACGTCTGGAGGCACCACAGAACCCCCGAGAAGTACATCTCGGATCGCGGTTCGCAGTTCATCGCTGACTTCACGCGCGAACCAGACAGACCGAACGCATTAACCAGGAGCTTGAGCAGTACATCCGGATCTTCACCAACTACCAACAAGACGACTGGGACGAGCTTATCCCTGCCGCTGAGTTCGCCTATAACAACCATGTTCACTCCTCCACTCAACAGGTACCTTTCATGACGGACACTGGTCGGCTCCCCCGAATGGGCTTCGAACCTGGCGCCTGCTCAGAGTTGGAGTCAGTGAACGAGTTTCGCAATTGGATAGCGAACAGCATCTCCGAAGCAAAGGCTGTGCTCGTTAAAGCCAAGGACGAGTACAAACGGTACTACGATCGGAGACGTTCGGACGCTCCGAAAATCCAAGTTTGGATGCCAGGATAAGGTATAAGCATCTTAACTACTTTGTCAGGTGGAAAGGCTACGATGCTTCTGTCAGGGGAACCTCCCTTTCGGCCCGGAGACGCGTCCGATTCCGGTTCCGACTCCGGTCCGGCCCTCCATCTCGCCCGCACAATCACCAATCTGTCAACGCCCTCCCGACGGTCGCCCTGGGACCTCGCCTGCAACGCCGCCCAAGCCTTCTGTGCCCGACAGCGGCAGCTACGGACAAGCAGTATATAGTCAGCTCCCTAGCAGGCGGACCCTTAGAGTTTCTTCTCTTTGGATCCTCCCCTGCTAGGACCTTGATCTCAGGCCTCCGGGGTTGCCCTTACAGCTTCACACGACTCGTGGGTTCGGTTCGACCATATCTTCGTGCCAGACAAGATTGCGGACTTCTATCGGAGATACCCAGGTAAACCACGGCATATCGCCTCAGCAACCTTCGACTCACTGCCCTTTCGAACTATGCATCGGGACGCCGCATTCAAAGCGGGGGGTGATGTCAGGGGAACCCCTGCTTCGGCCTCCTTCGGACCGTCCAAGCACATCCGAGGCACATCCGACCGGCGCCCCCTTGGATGCTCCGACCCACGCCGACCATCATCCACGGCCTCCTTCGCCCGCACAATCACCGATCTGTCAAGACCCTCCCAACGATCACCTTGGGACAGAGCCTGCGACGCCACTCAGGCCTTCTGCGCTCTACGTCAGCAGTTACGGACGACCAGTATATAGTTGGCGCCCTATACTCTATCGTGCATTATATACGTAGCCTGTTTGAGGGGTGATCGGATACCCTCACCTCCTCCCCCCCGCTGTCCCTGTCCCTGGCCGTAGAGGAGACGATCGCACGTCCCATGCGGTCCAGACGCTACTGCTAGCCCTCCATCCCCTGCTCCTGGTGCCAGTGGCACCAGGACACAAGTTGGGCTCAGAAACGGCCCAACACATCATTCTCGGACTGTTCCTCATCGTCACGGGCTGTGTGTTGTGGGCCCGCAATGGCTCAACGCTAGCCGCGGAGAGGACAGGCTGATCCTGACCATGACAACATCAGCACTACAAAGACATCATCATCAGTGCTGGACATTGCTAATTTGCACATATATCAGTAAAAATAGTTATGAACACCCTTTCATATGTTCATGAGGAATATGGTAAGTTAGATAGAGGTGCTCAAAGTGGGTAAGCACACACATATGAAGAACCTCCCAAACTAACTTTACCTAAAAATTTGCACAATTATCTTGTCTACATATATTTTAATCTAACTCTACTCTCTCTCAAATTTGACAAGGCTTCCCAGGAAAGTTCCACAAAATCTTGCCTAACCCAGATTTGTGGAAGGTTATGATTGAAGTGCCAGAGCTAGTGTATGATTAGTAGATTTTACCTCCATATTGAACCTAGAAACAACTATTTCTTCTTCTTCTTCTCTGCAATTATACTCTTCCAAAAAAGGCAATCACCAATAAATGCCACAAAAATCTAAGAATATAAATTTTTTTAAGCTAGAAACATTCTATACTGGTAGCAGGGATAATAATGTATTGTTCTGGTTCATTGCAGCGAAATCCATCAAGAAATGCAGTATTAATATCAGTCTTATTGTAGAGATGAATTTTATATTGCTGGTTGTTTAAAAAAGATCTGAAATACTTTTAGAGGTAGTGTTGATAATTATACATAATTATGTCATCCATTTATTGCCAAACCCTAGTATTACTGGTATAGAGAACACTCCTGTGCATGATTCTTAATTGTTAGGGGCAGCATACATATCCATGTTGTTATAAAGTTAATCGTGTCTTTTACTTGGAATAAATCATCAATGTATGTGACAGTGTTACACTGTTTTGAAACACTGATTATATAATCAATACAAATTCCGGTGCTGGAAACAGCTGTTGTATAGCCATAGATAGTTCAGACATTGGGTTTCTGCGGGGGATTGTGTTCTGCACTTAGCAGAATTGTTGAGAGGGATGGGTAAATGTGCTGCGGGTGCGCATTTGGGCCGGAGATGGAGGGCGGAAGAGCAGTTGGTAAGCAACACGTGCCCGCGGGCCGGTCGTTTGCTTCTTTTTCCCTCGCTCCACAGCCTTCTCTCACCCGTCGTCATTAACGCTGCCGCCACGCTGCACGCCTACGCGCCGGTGGGGCCTTATCTAGCAGAGCCTGGTGAGTCGCTGCTGCTCACGCTTTGGCTTGCGGCCTCTGGAGATGTGTTGTCGCAGTGGAGGACAAAGGTGAGTTGGCATCTTGATCCTCTCGTTGTCTTGCTAACCAGTTGTGTTGGCCAATTTTGCCGCGGTCAAAGGACGCGGAAGTTGGCCATGGGTTATGCCCACGCGAACGACGACGGCGCAACATTCCACGATTCTGTGCCCGCCCACTCATCACTTCTGCCGAATCGACCGCAAGTCCGCTAAAGCGATTCTGAGGGACGGTCCTGAAGATCGGCGCGGTACAGAATGTCGTGAAGAGGCTGCGGGGGATATGGCAGCGGCAGAAAGCAGGCAACAAGGGGTTGCGCCAGGCATTCAACTGCATCGCCAAATGACTCGGGGCCTGCAGCCACTCAAATTCGCTCGAGCATCTTGGCACCAACACCTGCTATCCTGGAATATGTCTATTCACGGGCGGGACAGCCAGCTACATGGATGGCAACAGCAACAAGACAGCGCCCTGGCAATGAATGCACGGCTGGCGACATTCTCATGTTTGAAGCAACAAGCGCGGCCTGGCCAACGCTGCGTTCTAGCCCCAGCCCTCGCCCGCTGTAACCCATGCTTTCCTTGCCCCGCCTTAACTCCAACCAACACGCTGCACAAAGATACCCCACCTGGCCAGCAACGTGCAGCCTTGTTGCTGCACCACTACTGCCAACATTGAGCGCAGCCACGACCTGTCTCAGTACAGTAGCGCCACAAGATTGTCCAAGACAGCGCCGGGACCCGGCTGCTGGCTGCCGCTAAGCGCAACGAGGAACGTTGTGGTCGTCAAACTGTGAGTGCATTTTGTGAAGTCGCACTGGCAGAACTTGCTGCTCACCATTGTTATAGCTTGATATCCAAAAGTGACGGGGTGTTGAAGATGCGCACCCTCCCATGTCGTTATCGAGTATGGCGGACGGGGCAGCAGCAAGGTTCATGGTTGTGGTGGTGGTAGAAGAGATGGCCAGCACTAGGTGGTGGAGAGTCCAAAGGCTGTGTATGAGGCGTTAGTATGAGCCTTATATACCATGTATTATACTGGTTGTGGGTCAATATAATGCAAATGGAGGATTAAGAGTTGATTAAGTATGCCGACTGATCGCCTTGATAGCCAACTTCTATGCCAGAAAAATCTTGTCGGCCGGATCACAGATCCGAGTACCACATTTTCTGAAAATTTTCTGTGGCAGAAAATTGGAAATCTTCTGACTCAGAAAATTTCCAGAAGATTCTCAGAAGATTGATGGAAGATTCCAAATTTTCCGTGACAGAAAATCCTCAGAAAATCTTCAGAAGATCATCAGAAAATTTCAAATGTTCTGTGCATTTTCTGGGACGGAAAATACATTAATGTCCGTAGTGAGAGCAGAGTATTGCAGTCAAAGCCTCGATGCAGCAACCATCCAGAGGATAAGGCAGTTGCAGCGGGAAGGTCTCCACATCGACGTCTCTTAACCTCTCAAATGCTTCCTTGAACTTTCTTATTGTTATATACTTACACCTATATATTACTTCGTCTTGAAGTAGTGTGTCTGCATACCTGGTATCTCCTGGTATCAGTACCCTACTATCAAGATTATTCTGATTCTCATGACCTTCAAGTTGTGCACATCGCTCTGCGCAAGGATTAGACATTTTTTCTCGCTAGTGTTGGAATTTGGATGACACCAAGTCTCGTTTGCAACAGGGGCAACACACGATGTGGCGGGTGGATTTAACGGTGAAAGTTCAGTGAAAAAGTGTCACGTCTGAATCATAACGTCACGGTGACTTCTCTCCTTCCGCTCATATTAATACGAACAACTCTGAAGCAAGAGAGAGAGATTTCCTATGGCATTCAACGTGAACAACGGTGTTGCGTTCAAGGCACCGGCGTCTGTGGCTATGATGGAATATCAGCTGCGCCTTTGTCATATCCTCGTTCATCGGTACCGCCATGCAACTGGAACGAGACAACTGGGGTGTGCTTGTTTTGCTATTCGCAGCACTGGAGATGGCACTCGTCGTCGCATCTCCAGCTCAAGTTTTATTTTCAACCTCGCCGCACGCAGTGAATGTCCAATGGACTGACCTCAACGAGCCCCCGAATCCAAACACGACGAGTAATAACATACTGTTCGACACAGTCAACAACCTGCTCCAGCATTGGCCAAATACGAGGTACAGAAACGGTGCGCGTGTGTCTCTTAGTCATCTTGTCCTCTGACTCGCAAAATTTAGGCCACACGATCACACCAGGCACTGTCGCTGTCGGCTCCCTCCTCTTCCACGGTCGTTCTGACCCTTATCTCCCCACCAATCCAGAATGGACGGCGACGGACCCAGAACACGCGTATTTCTTTTGTGGGAGCACAGGCTTTCCGAGCAACAAAACTGACCCACCCCCGCCAGAATGGCCGACTGGAAATGGATGTTGGCAGCTTACGATTGTGACGACCCGACCCTTGAATGTCATCTATTTTGACGGGTCAAGCGCTGCGAATATGAAGGATGGTACTCTCGATACCCAAGATATTTTGGCATGGGGCAAAGCGAAGCCTGACCGGTGGCTCGACGAGAGGGAGCGAATCGACGACTTATGTGCTTGGGGGAAAATTTATGGCGTGGATGGGTTCTTGAGGTATGCTCTCCTATGCCCTATGCGTTTTCTTGTAAGCTAATATTGCTCAAGAATGGAAATGGATTTGTGAGCCGTCAACAGCTTCTGCATCTACGAACTTACCACTGCCTCCAGCGAAATCATGCTCTGCGATTTCTCCTCTGGCGTTGAACTACTGTCCGCAGACTTCCTTGCCACATGGTGGAATCCCTATGTCGTCCAAGACCCGCGAATGGCACGACAAGCCCTTCCTCATTCATCCGCGACTTCCTTCATCAGACCATCGTCTTCACATCCTATCAAGATTACACCCCCAGACGAGCCCACTCGTAACCGCATCATCCAAACCATTCAATTCCAGCCCCTTCTTGCCGGTTCATGGCACAACCACTTTCCCGGCGACCTCCGCGTAACCCTAGACTACACGCGGCTGGTCAGTTTCTACGATATTGAACCAAGTCAGTCAACCGAACGGTGGGACCATCGTGCGGGTGATGTCTCCCAGAACGATATTCGAAGATTAAAGGAACGACTGGAGTCCTCGTTACTCCATGTAGACTCAGGCAGTGGGGTTGACTGGCGGGCTCTCTATCGAGGGGTCATTGATCGTTGGGGGCAACGACTGGCGCTGCTTGAGTTGATGCTGAAGGCAGATGAAGAGGCGATAGTGATCCAGCGACACCTTCGACTGATGCTGACGCCGTATACGCTTCTTTCCGTCCGTCCGAACACAACAAGCCATTGGGCAGCACCGGTCTGGCAGCTGTGTGCCACTCGCTCAACGGCTTATATCCATTCTTCGCTGTCGCAGCGTCTTACCCTCAGTGAACGAACCCTTCTCCGCGCAGTGGACGATACAAATAGAGAGATTTGTCGGCAGGTCGTGAGGATGTGGAGCTGGGGGGTCGAAAGCGGTGTGGACACCCTCGTTGTTATGCCAGAAGCGGAGCAGCCCCACGATACGCTTTGGCTGTTTCGCCATTGGAACAGAGCGACAGGGGAGCTGATGCAGTGGCTGGACTGGAGTGTATGGGTCAAATGCAAGCCAGCCTGTGGCGAGCAAGAAATGTGCTACCTTCCGACTTGGCCGTACTTTTGGGCTCGCTTGCGGGATCCGGAAATCCAGAAAGGGCCATGGAGGAGACCCCAACCGAGATGTATTCGGGCATACGAGCCGTATTCTGATTTGTCTGAGGTGGAGGATTCAGAAGATTAGTAGTATACTGATAATATTCTTCTTTATCCACCATATTCTTTGGCATTTGCTCACTACTTGCGGTCCCGGGCCGATGCGATTCAGACTTGGAAGCTCAAGTACAGTGAACACCAGTTCACTGAGGAATTTGGAATACGCAGGGAATAATACTATTTTTTTAATCGACCTTGCGCATGCAATTGTCGATAAATGTACTGCTACTTTCACCATGGCTATCAAGGAGTTGAATCATAACATTTTCTCCAACCAACCCTCGAGCTCAGGATGAACGGAGCGGACAGAACCCTTCAATTCCAGGCTCTTGGCGGTGGCTGTCACCACAGTCGGCTAAGAGCGAAGAGAACTTGAATAGCACTTGTGCTGATACATAATGAAACTACTTGGATCTACGAAGGTGCCTTGCCCTTTACTAGATATTCCACATCTGCATAAGCCCTCAGCGGATCAATACATCGAGTCCTTCGTCCCGCAAGCTGGTAATCATAGCTTCGAAGTCGTCAGAAAGCCCTCGTATGTCGTCATCCCAAGCTTCAATATGCACCGAGCGAAGTCGGGTCACTGAATATTGGGTAAAGTCCGTGTCCGGCCACCAGCGGGACTGAATCATCGCAGCAAGTACATCGACATCATGGTTGTCCGCGATCCTCACAAGGCGCAGTGCCGAAAGGAAGGGAATAAGAGGCCGCATTGGGGTGTCGGGTTGGTATGTCAGCTCTTCCAGGAGCGCATCGTCGATGCATTCCAAGCAATAAGAAATCTCCAACGTGGTGAGCGATGGCGTGCTGCCCAATATTTGGAGCAGGTCATCACTATTGATGTCCGACTGCTGGATGACGAGCGTTGAAAGCCTCCGACTCCGACTGAGGGAATTAGCAAGAGCCAAGCCACCCATACTGCTAGAGACACGCGTGATTGAGAGCTCGATCAGTGCGGGAAAGCTGAGGGCGATGAAGAAGGGGTCCAATGTATGCCGATCTGAAAGAACCACGGCCAAAGTCTCGAGATGGGGCAAAACAACGCGGACACCTGGATCGGCGATTGTGTCTGTGGGCCGTATCACGATGCCAACGTGCAGGTTGACAACGGATGTGCATTGGGCGAGTAGACTGATGAGCTGCGAGGATTTGGAAATACGCTCCAGCTTCAAGGCGGTAAGTTGCGACCACTGGCGGGAGATGGGCGATTCCGAACCTTTGTCGCAAAGGCTTGTGTTGCACAAATCCAATTCGAGTCTTTTTAGGTGTGAACGAGTCATCCTCTCCAATGGCTGCGAGGTATGGGATAATGTTGAAGTTTGCGGTCAAATCCTTCCAACGACTGGCGGCAGACATCGCAACATCAACGAGAGGCTGAATGGCGGTCTTTAATTCGAGGTTCCGACTCAAACTTGAATTCGTATAAGGGAATCCTGGTGAGACAATCACGATACCGATAAGCAACGGTGAGGACCGCTCCAATATTTCTTGCGTCGTGGCCAGAGCATGTGGCACTCGAGGTCTTGAGTGCTTGATGATTACACGCGGCGTCCACATTCGTGGTGTCTTCAGGACCAGCTGCCGCCAGTAAACGCAGACTGCCGAAATTATCAGGGCTGCTCTGAACCGCATCGTTTCTGGTGCAGTTTCCACCACATCCAGAAAGATTTCAGAAAGAATTTCCGGAGGCAGTAGTCGAACAGGTGATATCGAATACTTGAGGGCCGCAAGATTTGCTAGTTCTTGGTCGCGTAGGGCTTCCAGCGCAGCAATCTGCTTTTCTAGACGCGCCACGGTGGCTTCCCCTTTAGATATCAAGGCCCTGGCCTCATCCTCGAATCCAGGGAGCGTTGAGCGGGCGAGGGTATCGTAGAAGGCCTCATTGCCGAACCTAAGGTTTGGCTCTATATAACAAGGTTGCCATCAGCACTACCACATTCGGAGTGGCAGTGCAAAATTATTCCCTTTTTTGGCTGCGTCACATGATGGCTGGATCATCTGGTAAGGTTCGGCATCTGCCGCTTGCGGCCTTATCCCCTCTCATTTCGAAAGGTTACGAACTGAGACTTCATGATGGACGACGATGGCGATACTAAGCAGCCTGCATAATAAGATGGTATGAAGAGGGGAGTGCCCACCAGTCGCACACTGGATTCTGGTGGTCCTTGAGGATGTGGCAAAGATGTAAGTAGTGAAAAATCTTTGCTGTGACCCTCGGCCCGTGACATCGTCACACTCCTGATCAAGGCAAGATCAAGGACTGAGCTGAAGGAAACCGAACTATCGTCTCTATCGCACCTTGCCCAACCCTTGTTATATCCTGTGATCCCCTATAGTATCTCGACGTAAGCTCGACTCGCAGAGTAGACTGACTCCTCAGGATTGTGATTTGCATTGCTTTCATTTCAATCTGCAAGGAACTTGCATCTGGAATTCGCTATAATAATCTAATGCTTTTGGGATCCTTTCGGTATACAAGCCGCTGATGAACCACATTGCTGGTGAACGAAGACCACTGGAAAACGACAGTGCATTAGGAAAATCGGCTGAAATTGAATAGAAAGCACGGACCCCATTTCCAACGAAGACCTCGGCTCGTTTGGCTATCTCCATGTCTACTGCCATTCCAACATCTAGCTCTTCGTCATTCAACTGCAAGTCGCGCGTTGTTTTGACTGTGGGCCACCCGTTACGCAGCAAAGCCGCAATGAGATGATTTAGAAACTCCCCCCGCTCGTTGGTAAGAAGATATATGATGTCAAGATGCGGCGCTCCCAGGACCCTTTCCCAATCTTGCTTAACCTCTTGAGCCCGCAATACGACTTCGTGTATCTGTGGAAGACACATTTTGAACGCCGTTGCTTTTCCCTCAGGTTCTTCCGAGCTGGGTAGTCGGTGTTTGGCAACGTCGGGAAGAAACGGTAACTGGGACCAGCCGTAATGACCAGCACCCACTCCCACAAGGAACGGACAATGTTGAACGTAGTCTCCACGTCGAAGATGGACCGCCAACATACGGCGAAACGGATCATCATCGTCAGCTTTCGGCATCGGAAGTCGTCCAAGGTTTGGCTTTGCGTGAAAAATACCCAGCTCTATGTTGTTCTGGACGGCCGAAACCACAATCTGAGATGGTCGGAGGAGCGTACTGACAGGAGATCTTGAAAAGGCATCCCACAGGTCTAGTATCCGTTGACCACCCCAAAGCCGTAGATCAAATATTTGGGGGAAAGTGTCGTTATTCAGAGAAGTGTATGTGATCTCGACACAACTCTCGTTTGCTGACAACAATATCTTGTGCCACGTATCGAAAATGAGCTGGCCTGGAGCGTGGTCCAAGCCGCCAAGGATGTGCGGTTTGATGTCTTCCGTATTGATGAGCCGACGAGAGGAAGGTGGGCAAACGGTTTCCCACCATCGTTCCGAAATTGCTCGAGGGGGATTAGTATGCAAAGGGTCAATTGGAAGGGTCTTCTCAGGGTGCCAAGAGCCGCCAACGACTGGGCCAGCAATAAGGGCATTCATTGGGGTTCTAGTGCCGGACCTTGGTGCGGGAGGGAATGGGTAGTGTTCTGGGGCCCACCAGTAGTCAGCGAAAACATATGCACGATCAGAGACATATGCAAGATGGGCGTTCATTAGCCTACGAAGTTTTAGTCATGATGCTAGACAAGGAAAGCCACGCACCGTTCGTTGAGACAGTTATTCCACCCCAGAAAGTTCGCTTGCACGGAAAACTTAACATAACGACCGTTTTTGCCTTCTGGAAAGGGTAATGCGAGATCATGTTGTGACAGACGCTCCATCTCCCCGTACAGTTGTCGATACGACGGGCCTAAGGAAAGACCAAGTGCCGTATAGCCCTTGATACGGACTGCAGGGAAAGTCCAAAACAGGAAGACGGCGCATATACCAGCTATAGACACAAAGAGGCGTCGACGAATGTAAGAATGAGCCATGAAGGAGCAACAAGAAGTGTAAACTCGGTGAAGTCTTGCAATTCAGAGTCTTCATAGAATTTCGGATGCCGGCGCCGTTCGAAGAAGGGAATGAAACCCGAGCAAAATCTTGGCCGGCGCGCCGGTACTGGCCGTGACGGCAGGTTATACATGAGATGAGTCACTTCGATGGGAATAGCGATAGTTGAAAGGGTATTGCGAAAATGAATACATGGCTCGGGTTGGTGTTGAGTTAAAGATTGGTTAAAGACCTAAGCGGCGCGTGACCGTGCGTGACAATCAGTCACGAACTCAGTCACGCACTCTCTCAACAACGTCCACTTCGCCTTTCTGGATTTTCGACGCTCGTATGCGCCTGCCGTTTCCATTCCACTCGTAACACCGCTGCGTCAACATGCCGATGGACTTTTCCACCTACATAATGCAAATTAACGACGCGCTAAACGCTGAGAATGGGCCAAATCTTGCCTACCTTCTTCGGCCAACGAGCCCTCATGGAAAAGATCTCGTCAAGTCTCTTCGTTCTCCAACGGTAAACACGCCTAACTAGGTCGTCTTTTCCTTATTATCACCAGGTGGTTTCGATGGCACAATACAAAGGCTGCATATCCAGCCCATGGGACGAGGTCGCCATTCAATACGTGTTGACCTGTACCCATATCGCTCATGGGAGGTCTGCGGAGGCATTCAAGCAGCAATCAGCACTCGTTTCGTGAGTTGTCGTTCATCATATCGCACACACATTAACACGGCCTAGCGCATTCTCTCGCTACTTCATCGAGAACACGGGTTGGACGCTGCCTGCATTGTTCTCCATTCTGCGGGACCTCAGAGACTTGGCGGATGATGTGTGTGTGTTGCAAACTTGTCATCTAATGTGACTTGCGCCAGGCTGACCTCCATGGGCCACCGAATTCGACGGAGCAAAACGAGTGCAAAATGGAGGCAGCCAGGGTAGTTGCGAGAGCGTTTTCAAACTGCATGACAGATCGGTACGTCCTTTATTCTTTCACCAGCCACATGAAAATGACGGCCCTAGAGTCTCGCCTCCTGAAGAGTCACGCAAATGGGGCGTTTACTATATTGTCGGGCTTGTCATGAAATGCTACTTCAAGGTAAGGTCATACTCGCTTCTCGTCTGTTCTCACAAATCCGAGCAGGTCAAACGGATTTCTCTGACCAAGAACATTATAAAGGCGCTTGAGAATACCAACGATATACCCGAACTCGCAGATTACCCACGGGCACACCAGGTTCGTTTATCTTCCACTACCTTTCAGGTGTGATATCGAGCAGGTCACTTATCGCTACTACATTGGCATGCTCGCATTTCTTGACGAAGAGTTCTCCAAAGCGGAGCAGGAGCTGACGTTGGCGTTCTACCAGTGCACAACGAAAGCGCACAAGAACCAGACGTGTGCAATCCTTCCACTTTTTCTGGACATCCACCAACTAAATCAATCGTAGTCGTATCCTCACTTATCTTATTCCCCTTCGCATACTTCGAGGTCATCTCCCGTCTCAAGACCTTCTCGGACGTTTTCCGATCCTCGCAGACCTCTTCTTGCCATTCATATCCGCCATCCGAGTAGGCGATCTTGCTGCTTTTGACTCTGCACTTGCCGCACGCGAGGCCAAACTTATCGACCTCAATCTGCTTCTTACCATCGAAAAAGCTCGTGAACTCTGTATGCGAGTGGTCTTCCGTCGAGTGTAAGTCGTCTGACCTTCGTTTCGATGGCGCTTCTGCTGACACGCTTGCTCAGTTGGCTCCTCGAGAAGAAAAGCACGCGCATGCACCTCAGGCTGTTCCATGCTGGCTTGCGGGTGTCCGGCTGGGATGTCGATGTCGAGGAGGCGGAATGCTTGGTGGCGAATATGATCTACAAAGGGTTCATTCGCGGGTACATCAGCCACGAGAAGCAGACGGTGGTTTTGGCGGCCGCGAATGCGTTTCCTCGCCCGTCAGAGAGGCCGTCGCCCTATTCGCTTGTGTGAAAAACGGGGAAGAAAGACGGATGAAAGGGTTCTGCCCGGTACGGGGGAAAAGTGCTAGGTTTATAGTGTGTTGGTGGTAAGACAATTCTCCATCCACTCCATTGACCAAAACATGCTTGGCCACGGGGGTCCTGGTGTTGAATGCGGGAGTCAAGGGTAGAAAAGGCCATCAAGTGGAAGTTGGTCTGAAAGAATCTGGGGTTAACTCAGGAAGTGTGCTTTTAAAGCTCGTGTTATCCCACCTTTTTATAGAGTTGATTTTGAGTAATGACAGCCAACACATCATTGTCACTGACGTTTTCGACTAGTAACCACCATGTCCTCTCCCTACCAAGTCCATTTCGGCTCAAACTACTGTCCTCAACCTGATGAAAGTCGAGAAATCAAGGCTTTGGTCATGGATCTCAGTGCCCATGCTGAGCAACTCGACGCGGAAATCGCGCAACTGCAGAAACAAATGGACAAATTTGTTGATGAACGCAGATCGATTCAATCTCAAATAGAAGGCCACCAAGCGCTTCTGTCGCCTATGCGTCGCATTCCAGTTGACCTTCTACAAGAAATATTCGTGGTCTGCTTACCCTCCGAGCGGTATTGCGCGATGAGCGCTTATGAAGCTCCGATGCTTCTTGGTCGTGTATGCAGTCAGTGGAGGACCACGGCGTTTTCGACTCCTGCTCTCTGGTCAAGCATCCACATTGCGGAGCCATGGTTAAACGGTGAATCGCCTGCAGAAGGCTATACTCGAGTCAGCGCGATGCTTGCCGCTCGATTAGAAGCGGCAAAACAATGGCTTGATAGGTCAGGCTCATTACCACTCTCCATATCATTATTCCTTGGGCCAACATACGGTTATTACCCGCACACTCTTGTTCCTGACCCGCTACCACTCCTGCATCTCGTGCTTACCTACGCAAAGCGATGGCAAACTCTCTATCTTCACATCCCCCCACGCGAACTTTCACGATTGGAGGTTCTGAGTGCTGGAGAACTGGGTACTATTACCTTTGATCATCGGGACTCACTAGGCAATGGGGGTGAGATTGGCTGGGGCGAATGGAATCCTCCCAAAGGTACACTTCTCGAAGCACCCGCCCTTCGGACTTTCAATATTCAGGGCATAACTGTGGACGTGAATAACTTCCCATTCCCATGCAGTCAGCTTACTTCTCTTACTCTGGGGCACCGTATGGATGAAGTCTTGGACAGCGAGAGTGTTTTGCGCCTCATTAGACTCTGTCCACATCTCGAACATCTCGATATATGCCTCAGACGCTTCACTTCAAGCTCAGCAGACGCCACGTCCGTCGAGTCACGCATCCTCCGGACTCTTGCTCTGCGTTACTCATCATTTGACCCAAGTTCGTTGGAAATCCTTGATTTCTTAACTCTGCCTGCATTGCTCCATCTATCCGTCTCTGGTCGTATTTCAGACCCCGGCGACACTCCCTCTTTTTTGCGGTTCTTGACCAGGACGCCGCGTTTGGAGGGTTTGGATATCGGAGGCGGGGTCTTTGAAACAATTTCATTCGCCGAAACTATTCCCTTGCTTCCTCGCATTATCAACTGCCACTGTTGTATCATTTCAGAGGTACAGAGTTTGCGTTTTGACAGACTTCGAATGTCATTTCCCGTCTCCTTTATTGGAATACCATTTCTGGAGAAGTATGGCCTATCCACAACCAATTTTTACGCCTCGGGCCAGCAAATGTATACCCTGGTCATATAACCAAGCCTATTACTGTACTGTAACCAATTCAACAATAAATACTTGTGGCAGAAATGGCAGGGGCCGTAATTCCTCCCTCGTTCACAAGAAAGATTTCTTTATTTTCTTCCATTAGACCCATTTCCCAACTGCCACAGACATTGCCTCCAGTACTGTCAACTCTGAAAACAAGTACATCAATCAAGTCTAAAGTTTCTTGTGTCAGAGAACGAATGTATAGTTGCTATAACCAAGCTTAAGTCTGTAGATCAATTCTGAATGATGTATAGGTTACTATGGTATCCTATCAATCCAATCCCCAGGACCAAATCCACTACTCGTCTCCATCAACATCCATCCTCTCCCCTTCTTCACCTTCATCCAGACGTGGAATCGGCTTCCTCGTCCCTTCAGTCCGCTTTCGCGCCTTAAGCGACCCATCCCCGTTGCCAACTTTCATCGCAGTTGAAATCGAGCCCGTATCTGGCGGCAATTGACCAGCGCCACTCGATGGAGAAGACAGCGGTGACGCTCGTTCAATGACTTTTCGACTTCGCGCAGAGGGATTGAAATGACCACATTTAGGGCAAACATATTCTGTAGAAACTATCAGGACTGGAGAAACAAGAAGACGCCCGATAACTCACGAGCATCGGGCCATGCAGCCTCATGCACCAGCCCATTATGTGCGAAACACTTTTCACAGATGAGAGCAAAGCGTTGCGACGCTGGCGCTACATCTTCGGCACCAACAAGCAAGTCCGCAACCGAATCGAATAACGTTCGACGATGAGGTTGCGGAGGTTGCTGAGGAGGGTTCGAAGCAGTTGTGGCGGAGAGATGGGTTGGTTGTTTTTGTTGTGGGGGAACGCGAGGCCCTACACGCCTTATGAGCCTCTGATTGAGGAAGCGAGTGAATAAACTCACCTGGTCCACGTTGCTGAGTAGGGACAGTGGAAGGAGGCGGCTTTTGAGGCGTTCCTGGTGCGGACTGTTGGTCATAGCGTGAAAGAAGGTCGCGTGTCGAGTAGAAATTGGTTTTTTTCTTAATCTCCTCCACTTTTTCTCGCTGCTCCTTCATCAACACTTGGAGAGATTTTTCTGGCGTGCCACCCATGTGAGCATCGAACAGCAGAATCGCCCGGGACAGCGTACCTTCTTGGTTGCCCTTGCGGTTGTACCACAACTGGACGATTCGTCGAATGAATAGAATACTAAGGTGGTCAGGACGAGAGTCGGGGCACAGTTACAGCAACGCACAGAATAGGTCCCACAAACACTGGGAGGGCTCGCACTACGCGCTCTGGCGTTGTGACCCTTGCCCGACCTCCACCATTCACAAAACCAAAATACCACGAGCCGAGATAGACCAGCCAGCCTGCAAGTGTGTATAGGGTCACTAGCGTCGTGGCCCGTCGTTCTCGTTGTCGGATGTCAGCGAGTTGCTGCTGCCGCTTCTGGATGTTTGAGGCAAGGGTGGCTAGGACGGTTTCATAGTCGTCGGAAGCCGGTTTGGACTGGGCGGAAAAGCGAGGATGTGAGTAGGTGGCCAGGGAAAATATAAAAGAGCACGAACGGAACGGAATAGACGCAGAAGGAACGACATGGAAGTGAGAAACAAGTCATCACGCTGTGACGTGGTGGGGAAAGCTTAGTTTCGGTTGGCCACCATGCAGACCGCCATGTGAAGCCGGCTATTGGCGCTATGCCTCTCTCGCTGGCCGAAATGTGGCGTGCACTTCAACGATACCAAGCTCCAGCAACGGAGGATTCTTGGTTTGGGTCATTGACGTCATATCGGCGGCGCAGCAGCCATTAGCGAATATATACCTCAAGTTGTTTCTCCTCTTGGTCTCTCTTGGTCCGCATTTTAGTTTGAAACGACATTATTATGTTCTCCTTCTTCTATTTAGCGAAATCCATGACTCCTCGTTCCGAACACCTTTCTAAAACACCATTCCCTTTGCCACACAACACATCCTGAAGCCCTTGGGGTAGCGGAGACAGCCTCAGCTTCCCGAAGTTGTTCATGTCATTTGCCATCCCGATGGTGAACCGCCTTAACTGTGGAAACCTCGCTTTGGAGCTCAATATCGCATCCAGCTCCTCCCATGGTGCATGTACAAAACTTGATGGACTGGGCACCCGTGAAAAAGCGATGGTGACGGTGGACAGTAACAATGTTGGAAGGAAATGGCCCAAGCCAAACGTCGATGAAAGCTTGAGGAGTGTGTGAATACCTTGTGGTGGCTCTGTGTCCGCGACGGCAAGGTGTTGGAGCGAATTTAGTGGAATCGGAAATGGCGTAGATTCTGAAAGGAATTAGGGGCCATGCTTCGTGAGCGAAAGGGCCATACCTATATGACAGTTGGAAACCAAAAGTTGTGAAACGTTGCGAGCGGCGGAAGAAGATAGGAAATCGAAAACGGAGGTCCACACAGTAATATTCTGGAGTGTGATGGTACGAATGGATGGTTCCAAATGTCTAGATTCGTGCTCGCAAAGACACAAAGCCTCTGCCAGGCGGGAAAACAACGGTGTCGCAATATTGGAGCCAGAAACAGCGAGGGTCTGGAGACGGAAAATAAAGTCAAGGTCGCTCGTTTGACCTGTTTCTTCCGCCTGATACCGAGCAGAGCCCGCGAGTCTGAGACTCTCCAACAATGGGAAGGCGGAAATATACGCCAGAAGTGTGTCGATGTGGATGTCAAGATGGAGTGTCAATGATAAGCTGCGCAATGAAGCACAGAAGAAAGGCTTCAGCGGTTCGTATGCCGGACAGTCGATTTCTAGTCTATTCGGGACTACCCCGACACGTTGTAGGACGGAAAGAATGGAGTTCACAGGTGTCATGCCCCACGTTCTCCTAGTCAAGATTATGCTCGAAATATAGGGCGTGAATGTCGCAGGTGTATGTGAATTGAGGAGAAGAGAGAGAAGGGAGGTCATTCCGTTCGGTTCTGGCGTCCAGTCGGCGGAAAGGTCAAGTGTCCAGAACAAGTGATACCGAGCTCGAGGAAACCAATGTCGAGAAACAAGACTGCAAGCTCCAAGCGCATTGGTGTGAGCGGAAAGCGAGTCGACAATACGTTCATGAAGTTCCAAGGGCAGAGAGACCATGGCCACTGGGAAACTGGCGAGGGTTTGTAGTCTGTTCGGCGATAAGCACTGGCAATAACACTCATATGAGCGGAATGACAAACGTGGTACCGAATCGTGCTGCTATCCAATCATCCCCGCTGGGGATTCGGGAGCATTAGGAGCTGATGATACGTGTCCACTGGAATGGGTTGGCTGGGGGGGGGTGGAAGAACTTCAAGTTCAGGAGCAAGACAGGGAATTTGAGTGACGGCTTCATCACGGAGATAGGATGTCTCTAAGCAGATGCTGTATTAGCAAGTAGAATCTGGAACTATCACCATCCATGGTGTTTGTCCTTGGGAATCCGGAGCAGTCAAAGCAAGAAGTGCATTTTTGTGACATCAATGTCATCAGGCTTGTTAACTAACTTGAAAAATCAAGCGGTATATCTCCTCCATTTTGCCTCCATTCAATAAAGACTGTCCCCGTCTGAAGACTAGATGATACCTTCCTACAAGGAGTGGTTGGCTGTGGTTATGGCGGGCCGCCATCACCGCCCGAGCGCAAGGTAAATGCTGTTTCTTGGCTCCAAACTCCCGCGTGGAATTTACCTCGTTATAATATGGACTACGCAGTGTCGCTCTCCGATATCGGCGGAAGGTCGCTGTGGATTGCTTTAAAAGACCTTGACCTCAGACCCGATATGTCACCACAGACACAAACAGCTACTCACTGATACTAATGGCAGCCAACATTGTCCTCCCCCCTCTTAAGCTCTGGGCACAACAACACCTCACAAGCATGCTCAAGGCCGCCGTCCAAGGCCAAGCGGCATTCAACGATGCTTTCAACGCGTTCATTTCCAAGGATGCGAAGATTACGTTGAATGGGAAACAAGTCTCGCATGACGCGTACAAGCGCGCTTTCGAGGCTGCTTTTGGTGTCGCGAGCGTGGATGTCAAGCTCGACGAGACTGTCGCGGTTGCCGACGCCGACTCCAACTATGTGCGTTCAAGTTGTGCTCTTTCGAGAGGTCGCAGGGAATGGAAATTGACATGGTTGTAGACCGGCCTCGTTGGTCTGTTCTACACAGAGACAGCCCGTTCGAAAGATCTCGTTCATGATGTCCCAAGAGTGCTTTACACCATTGACGCCTCGGTGAATATCTTGTGAGTCGTCCGATGCTTGGTTCATCCCGATTCCCAGGTGTCTAATCATGTTCAGAGTCGAGGAGGACAAGAGTCTCCACGCTCCTCACCTCCCGCACGGCATTCATGGCGATTTCGGTGAGGATTGTACCAGACATCCGGCCGCTCGTTTGACAATTTTTCTAGATGGTCGTCGGGTCATGTCGGTCAACCAGATTAGCCTCGAAACTCACCAACCCGCTCCGAGGGATGCGTGACCCGCGTATTGACGCCCATACTTAATGTAAAGCTTCATCTATTCCAAGCTTAATTCCAAGGAGAATTTGACACACGATAACTTGACAATCCCGATTCCCCGCGTCGCCCTACTCCGAATTCATGCAAACTTGTTCAAGGTGCTTCTTGTCTTAGTGATTCGGATCCGGAGTCCTTCCTGAGAAAAAAGGCATTGCCAGTGCCTCTGAGCTCTTTGTTTATGTATGCGGCAGCCTCGGCCCGAGCTATTTCGAGAGTGAAATTTTGTGACATCGGGATGGCAAGATGCATGAAATGTCATGGGAACTTTTTCCAATACGTTGATAAGCAATGTGTCTTAAAGAGTAGTGCGAGGCTTCTCTTAGCTTGACTGGCCCCTTATACCCTACCTGGGTCCAGTATCATGGCCCTTCCTACTAGCACAGCTCCGAGAAGCAGACAACCCTTGACAACACAGGTTGAGCATATGAACATCAGTGGTCTGTAGACATCATACTTCTCAATAGAGAGAAAATGCTGAAAGACTAGCTTAGGAGGAACTGGGGGTCGTGGTGGGACTGCAACAGGATCAGATGGCACAGGTGGCAATGGAGGCACTGGGTATGGACCAAGCATTGGGGAAATCAAATCAAAATACACATTGTTTGAGCAAAATTCCTTGTATGTATACTCAGATCCTTATTGAGATCAGTCACTCATATAGTCATACCAATAGCATTCAAAACACACAGAGTATGTTATAATTTGGATTATTTAAAGCAATTCACTAAGTTGGCTACGGTAATTGAAGTTCCAGATCATCATGGATGCCCTCAACCCTCAAATTTCTTCCAAGGGCGCTCAAACCATTTAAGCCAGCTTGCTAGCTTTTTTGATATGACCAGTAGGGGAAGCCAAAAGATTGTATTGCTCCATGGTCTTGGTGGTGCAGGAAAAACAGAAGTTGCTTTGAAGTTTATTTCACATTCAATAGCCAGGTTAGCCTAATTATATAAATCTGGATATAAAGAGGTTTATGACTGAGTTTAGGTTCACTGATCATTTCAGATTCAATGCAAGCAGTGTACCAAAAATCCAAGCTGGCTATATTGAACTGGCTAAACTGAAGAAACTAGAACCATCTGTTGAAGCTGCATATGCTTGGCTCACTCAAAACACTGATGAATGGATTATCCTATTTGATGGTGCTGATGACAAGAACTTGAATCTGGGAAATTACCTTCCTAAATGTGGTCATGGCAACATTCTGATAACTTCCCGCAATCCAAGACTAGATATATTAACAGGTGTTCCTAAGAAATCAATTGAGATAGCCAACTTATCTATGAATGATGCTATGCAACTTTTTGTCAACATCTCTGGAACTGCTCTAGCTCATAAGAATGATATTAGAAATCTTGTTAAGGTATATAACTTCATGTCTTATATTTTGAGTAACAAGATTATATGTATAGGAACTTCATTGTTTCCCTCTAGCACTTGTTCAGGCAGCTGCTTATATTTCTCAGCACCCAGAGCTTCAAAAAAACCCTAGGGAATATTTGAAAATCTATCAAGAAAATAAAACAGAACTTTGGAACAAGAGGCCAGAGCAGAGCCTATGGGAGTATAACAAGACAGTTTATACCACATGGAAAACCAGCTTTGATCAGCTACCTATTGAAGCTCAACAATTTCTGCAGCTCTGTTCATTTCTACATTATTCAAAGATTACACAAGGCCTATTCAAGAGGGCTACAGAATACAGACCCAATAGTTCAGACCAGAGTATGATTATCTACATCTGGAAGGTCCTACAGCAGCTATTCAGCTGTAAGCTATATAAAGAGATTCCTGGTATAACTATACAGCAATCTGTATTAGTCCAAGAATTTCTATCTAATTTTCAAGATGACAAGCATCAATGGAATGAAGTTGCATTTCAAGATATGCTGAGTGTCATTCAAAAGTACTCCTTGATAAGTTGGGATTATGATGGCTATTCAATCCACCCTCTTGTGCATGAATGGACAAGATTGACAATAAAAGACTCCACAGCTCAGGAAGAGCTTACAACAAATATACTGGGGATGTCTGCAGCATGTAGTGCTCAATATGAAGAACAATTAGCTCTTATAGTTCATCTAGCACACATGACAAAAAAGCCTCATGAAATACCCCATCTATTCAAGGAGCATTTTATCAAGATATTCTTAGCTGGAGGCATGCATGAAAAGGCCTATGAGCTTGCAGAAGCAACTCTGAAGACATGTCAGAGAATCTTGGGTCCAGAGAATGACCAAACAATATCTGCAATGTTACAGCTAGCTATGGTATATGAAAAACTAGAAAACCTACAAGAAGCTTGCAAGCTACAAGAGCAAGTTATAGTTCATTGGTCAAAGACCCATGGTCCAGCACACCAACAGACTATTTATGCTAAAGCTAAACTTGCTACCACTTATTGGAAGCTTCATGATTTTTCTAAGGCACAAGCTTTAGAGCAGGAGGTAGAAAAACAGGGTTATGCTCCAGACTCTACCACTTTTGATAGAATCTCTGCCAAAGCTTCACTTGCTTTAATTTACAAAAAGCTAGGAAAATTTGCTCAAGCTAAAGAATTAGAGCAACAAGTAGTGATGCAATATACACATATCCTTGGCTTGTATCATCAAGATACAATTATTGCCAATGCTAACCTTGCTGCTACCTGCTGGAAGCTAGGAGAGTTGGAGTCAGCTAAGATATTACAACAGCAGGTCATTGAACAACAAATCAACTTGACTGGAGAAGATCATTTGGAAACTCTATTAGCACAAACTACTCTTGCTCAGATCTATGATGATTTAGGTCAATTTGTTGAAGCAGAACCCTTGAAAAAGCATATTGTAGCTAAATATATCATGATTCTAGGACCAAATCATATTGATACAATTGCAGCTCAGGCAAATCTTGCTGTCACATATCGAGCAGTTGGAAAGTTAGCTGAAGCTCAAGAAGTTGAAGACAAAGTACTTATAAGTCGTACCAATCAGACAATATCGATTCAGACAGATACTAGTCTTGCAGCTATATACTGGAAACTTGGAAAATTCACTGAGGTCCAGGCACTTGAAGAAAGGATTATACATCAGTCTTACTCTGTCTTTGGGGAAAGCCATCTGAATACAATTGCAGCATCTGCAAGGCTTGCTATTACATATATGAGTCTGGGCCAATTGAATGATGCTGAAAGGCTGGGCCAAAATGTAATAAATGAATGCTCAAAGCTTCTTGGATTAAATCATCCAAGCACAGTTGAGGCTCAGGAGAGCTTGGCTATTATATACCAAAAACTAGGCAAATATATGGAGGCTCAGATACTTCAAGAACAGGTTATGCAGCAGCGCACTCATACTCTTGGGTTAGATCATCCAGAAACTTGTCGTGTCATGGCTAGCTTGGCAGTCACATATGTAAGGCTAAGCAAATACACACTAGCTGAAGACTTGCGAGAGCAAATTACTGAACAGTTTACATTTATTCTTGGAGCAAAGCATCCAGATACAATCCATGCACTTGCTAGCTTAGTTTGGACATATATAGATTTAGCCAAATATAAAGATGCTCAAGTATTGCAGGAGCAGATCCTAGATCAATTTACTCGAATTTTCGGATCAATGCATTCTTATACCAGTCATGCTCTGGCAACTTTGGCTATCATATATAAAAAGCAAGGCAATTTTATAAAGGGTAGTCAGCTACAGGAGGAAGTTGTACAACAATTTATTTCTATCTTTGGAACAGATCATCCAGATACAATCAAAGCTCAGATTGAGCTTGCCACATATCTAGAGTTGAGCAGTGGAAAATAAATTGACACTCTCAAAGCTTTGAAAAAATCAATCTTGCTCTCTTTCTACTTCTGAATGTGGAATTGTATTTGCCTTCTGTGCATTTGTTCAATGTTATATGTTACCAAGTAATAGTATGGAATTTATGATACTGATATGAAGGAACTTCTGAACTAATAAAAACTGTATCCCAAAAATAAGGTATTCAGTTACTCATGAAAATAATTTTAAACTATTATAAGTATGTTATTGGGTGCTAGTGTTAAGTGCTGTGCAAAGACCAAGCAGAAGTAACAGAGAGTCCAAAGGAAAACCGAGTAGCTATCACAACACTATATTGGAGTGAGCAACTCTATGTCTTGCAGGTCAAATACAAGTCTGAACAAATGTGTGAAATCCTGTGGATATGTTTAGAGAGTCTAAAGTGGTAATAACTCAGAACATAAAGGGATTCAGATGAGAATGGAGAGCGAGGCAAGAAACATCAACAACAAAACTGAAGTACAGAAGCATAGAGTAGAAGTATTATACTAAGTGGTAGGCATAAGACATATGACTGCACAAGAGATCTGCAGATCTCCCTGTGGGATAAGTACAAGGGCATAATAAGTATGTTGATATATATAGCTTGCACCTTATCTACGGATCATGTAGTAGCTTACATCATTCTTTTTCCTTGCTTTTCCCGGTCATCGTGCCCCTGTCCCTCCTTCCTGGGCCTCTCCTTTCCTTCGTGCCGATGCCATGTTTTGCTGCGCTCAACACGGGGGCCCATAACTGGATCAACTACTATCAATATTTGATTCGGTGATAAGCCGCATTTTGGAACACACATAGAAAACCACTGTTTTTGTTCGTTTCATGGGTACAGCGCACGTCTAGGAACTGGCATGAGTCCCGAATGGCCAGTTAGGGAGATATCTGCGAGGAGGCGTTTCGACTTGACCGTTGTTGATAGCAATTGGCCGTTCAGAACGACTCTTACAACAACCAAAAACAACAGCAGAGCCCAACCAACATAGAGGATCCATCCAATCCTTTATATATACCAAAAGGGAGTGTAAACTAAAAGGCATATTCGGTCTGGCACGCGCTGGGACTCGAACTCAGAACACTCCAATGAAGGTTCAACCAGGCTTCGAACGGATCAGTCCCTGACAGTATTGGAACGCCGGTTTCGGAACTTACGC